CATAAATATCTATAATGAAAAGTCATTGAAGAAAAATAATAACATCTGAATAATTGATAGAGAATTTCTGAACATAACTTCATTAAGAAACTCTATAATTGCAGGAGATTTCAATGTACATCATCTCTGATGAAATTCAGAATACAAAAGAGCAGTAAGAGCTGATAATCTGATTGAATGAATCTTTGAGCATTCAATAGATTTAGTTAACAAGTCTGATCAATAAATATTCTTTAGAAAAGATATGAAACAGAAATCTATTATAGATCTAATCTTCATGTCACAAAATCTAATAGAAAAAAGACTTGTAAACTGATTTATTAATTCAAATGAGACATCAGAATCAGATCATGAGATTATTCAATCTGATATTAAACTGAGTGAGAAATAAATGAGTGAAAATCCTCTTCTCTCTAATCAGTTTAACTTTGAAAAAGCTGACTGAAAGACAGTTGAAGAAAGTATAAATCTGTTAAAATCTGAAAGACAGAGTGAGCTGTATTGAAATCCTGATCAAGATATCTCAAATGAAATGCTTGAGAATAGAGTGAAGCTCATTACATCTATTATTCTAGTAAGTGTTAAAGATAATATTTCAAAGAGAAAGTCTTCTGAGTATTTAAAACCTTGATAAAATGAGAATATCACATCTAAAAGAAAACAATTGACTACTGCTAGAAGAGATTGAAAGAATGATATAATTTCTAATAAAGAGTTCAAAGCTGTCAGAAATGAATATTTTTCAGATATTAAAAAAGCTAAAACAGACTGCTGAAATAAATTTCTTGAAGAAGCATAAGAAAAAGAAGTTTTTAAAGCTTTTAACTATACTAAAACAAGAAGTGTAGCAAAACTTTCAATCTTAGAATAGGAGTTTTAGAATGAATCATATACAGCAAACTCTTTTAAGAAAAAATGTCAAGCTTTTATAAGAACTCTTTTTCAAAACTCATCAGATTCAGATTCAGAGGAAGAGAATATGTCACTTCTTAACTATATTGATGAAAATGACTGAGAATGACCTGATCTTACTCAAGATGAACTAGAGTCAGCTATTTTCTCAAGTTCAGTTAAGACTGTTGCAGGGCCTGATTCAATTAATCACTTGATTATTCAAAATATATACTTCTACTTAAAGAATGAATATTTTGAGCTCTTTTTCAATCTCTTGAAAAATGAATATCATTCTGAATGCTGAAGAGAAGCCACTGAAGTGATTCTTGCAAAACCTAATAGAAAAACTTTAATTCTCAAGTCATATAGAGTAATATCTCTATTGAACTGTCTGGAAAAGGTTTTAGAAAAGATAATAGCTACTTAACTATCTTTTATAAGCTCTATCAGTAATTCTCTTTTATTCAGTGAATAAATGAGAGATAGAAAACAGTGTTCTGTAATTAACACTGTTCTCTCAGTTATTTATGATATTCAAATAGCAAAGCATGAAGATCTGGTCTCAACTGCAGTTTTTATTGATATAAAAGAAGCTTTTAATCATGTTTCAAAGTCAAAGTTAATTCAGATATTGAAGATGTTAAAACTGTCACTTTCTCTAATAAAATGAGTTAACTGTTTTATATCTAAAAGAATTATACAACTTTTCTTTGATAGAATGAAACAAGACAAGACTGAGATAAAAATAGAAGTATTATAAGAATCTTCAATCTCATCTATTTTATTTACAATATACACTGCATATCTATTCAAAAATACAAATATGAGAATAGTGTGATCTCTGAGTTATATGAATGATATTGATCTAGTCTACAGCTTAAAAACTATCAATGAGAATTTAAAAGTGATTAAAGAAGCTGTAAAGAAAATCTTTATTAGAGCAGATATCAATCAAATTCAATTTAATATGAATAAAACTGAGTTAATTCATTTCTTTTCTAGATTCAATGAGAAAGAACTATCTCTAACTCTTTTAAATAGAGAGATTAAACTCAGTGTAAATATCAAATGATTAGAAGTATGATTAAACTCTAAGTTGAATTTTAAATATCATATTCAACAAAGAACTGTCAAGGCAAAAAGACTATTGAACAACATAATCAGACTATCAAATACAGAGAGAGATCTATTCTTCCAGGCTATGAGACAGTTATATGTAGCCTGTATTACATCAGTAGCTGATTATGAAGTTCAAGTTTGATGAAATAATCAAGAGAATTTCACTGAACTCTTTCAAAGTCTGTAAAACAGAGCCTTGAGAAGAATTCTAGAAGTATTCAAATCATCTTCTATTAAAGCAATGAAAATTGAAGCTTCAATTTCTTCTTCTGCTATTAGATTTGAAAAGACCTGTATGAACTATGCACTGAGAGTTATAAAGATGAGCTCAAATCATATAATCAGAGAAAGAGTCTCTTCTTCATTTTCATTAATTAACTCTGGAAATGAACTGAATTGAAATAGATTTCTTGATTGAAATGAAAATAATTCTTCAAAGAAAATGTCTTCTCAACTTTACAGACTATGCTCTCTGATTAAAAATCAATTTTCTTCTTTAAATGTTGAAAAAGTGAATCATGAGAAGTTATCTCTCTGAAGAGAAAAGCTTGAATCTCTTATAGACTTATAAATAAGTGAACTATCAAAAGAGAAAGAATTTGAACAGTATTTGAAGAGAATTTCTACAATCAATATAAAAGACTCTATTCTGATTTATTTAGATGACTCAAAAAATGAGAACCTGAATAGATTAGGCACAGACATTGCTTATACTGAAGATAATATCAATTTTATCTCAGATTTCTGAAATCTAGGCTCTGAATATGAAGTCTTTGATACTGAACTATTTGCAATAGTGAAAGCTTTCAAACTCATAGAAATAAAATCTCATAAAAGAGAAAATAGTTTGAAAGAGATATGAATATTCTCTGATAGTCAAGCTGCTTTAAAAAGACTTAGAAATAGTCAGATTTATAATGATCAAATAAATCTTGAACTGATCTTAAACTCTGTTTTGAAAATTCAAAAGAGAAGAATATCAAAGCTGATAATTCATCTACACTGAGTTCCTGCTCATATGAATATTCATGGCAATGAATGGGCTGATTCAGCTGTAAAAAAGAGTGCAAAATTAAGCAGATCTATTCAAAAAATTATGTTCTAGTCTTTTATAAAGAGAAAAATAAAAGAATCTTGTTTAGACAAGTGAAATGAAAGCTGGCAGAAACAAAAGAAGAGTATATATTATTCAAGATTTGAAACAAAACTCAAGTGAAAATCTTGTTCAATTAAATGTAAAAAGAAAATATTCTCATCTATAATACAGCTGAAACTAGGACATGGCTATTTCAAATCTTATATACAAAGATTTGATGATAGATTTGACTCAATAGAATGCTCATTCTGCAATGTAAATGAGAATTCTGAGTATATTGTAATACACTGTGTAATATACAATAGTCTCAGAGTCAGATTGAAAGAGAAGTATGATCTAAATTAATTAAATATAAGATTTTTATTCTCAACTGAGACAGGAATTAAATACTTAATAGACTTTTTATTAGAAACTCAAGCAGCTACAAGAAAATGGCTAAATTCAGAATTATCTGAATATGAAGAGGAGAAAATCAATCAGATATAGTCTGTTAAAACAGCTATACACTATCTTTTAATAATTTATTTTGTTACAGTTTCTCTTTACTTTATCTTTTCCTTTCAATTTCTTTCTATCTATCTATTTAATGTGTCTATCTTTAAGACTGTGTTCTCTTTCTCTTTTCCTTTGTCATGATATTGTCAAATGGTTTCAAAGTATCAGAAGATGTTAAAACACTGTAATTTGTAAACAGTTTTTATATTCTGAGCTGGAATTTTCTGATTTTGCATATCTGAAATTGATGAATGTATAATAGTTAACTTTACAGATATAGAAAAAACCCTGAGAACTAAAAGTTCTCAGGTAGATGTCATAGTCTCTGACTGCATACATCTATAATTGAAGAATAATAATAATAATAATAAAGTTACTAGAAGTATTCACAGTAGAAAGATAAATATAGAGATTAAATATATAAGAGTATTCAAGCTAAGTTATGAATAGTAGTTACAAACTTCAGTTTATATAGTTGTATATAGTCAAGAGCTGCTAACTCTATTAATTACATAAGAAATGAAAATAGAGATAAAGAATTCATGAGAAGTAAGATTTCTTACAGTATGATAAAGATACAAGATATTATATAAAGAATAGTAAAAGAGTGAAAGAGATGAAAAGAATAATAATAAAGAAGTAAAGAGTAATTGAAGAAGAGAGTGAAAGTGATAGAAAGAGCTGTATAAGCAGTAATATAAGTGTAAGCAAGCACTTAATACTTGTTTTTCATAATAAATAATTAAAAATATAATAGAACAAAGTAGTTCAAAGTCTGAGCAATCTCTAGAAATAAATCTTCTCACTTACAAAACTTAAAATAGTACTGATAATAGCTGGAAAATACTCTTTTCACAATGTTTTTAGTTTTGAAAACATATTTCAGCTTATAAAGTGAAATGTTGAATGGTTGAAAAAGCAGGGAAGAAGCAGAGTATAATAATATATACTTAGCGCCGAGCCACTAGTACGCTAACTTCCTTGCCACTACTGTATATATACAGTACAAATTGGTGGTGAATTATGTTAAACTCAACACATTACATAATATTTTATCATAGAATCTCATTATAGACATATTTTTACACAAATGAAAAATATGATAAAAAAGTCACAGCAGTCAGTCTACATATAATCTTCAATGCATAGATATAATTATTATATTGATCAGCAGTTACTACTGTTTATAACAAGAGCTTCAGAATCTGTACAGTTCATAGAAGAATTAACATTGTGTGTGCATTTATATAATCTAGCAATGTTCTCTTTGTGAAATGTGAGACATGTGACCGCAGTAGCTGGACCAACAAACTCTCTGTGTCAAGGCCCAGATTATGAATAGACCATCATAAAATCATCTGAAGAGGGGATTCAAATCTGCAACCCTGGTCTCCGAAGGGTTACCCCTCATAGCCAGTTTCTGCTTATCATGGGCCTTCCATGGACACACTTTCACCACTACATTATCCTCTCCTCCCCCCCCACCCCCCAAATGGAGATCATTCTATGTACTTTGATCAACCAAATATTAAGTATAGGATCAATATCAAGACCTCAAAGTCGGGCTCATATTGCAATTGCAGGACTCTAGTGTTGAACCAGAGCATCCAGAGTTAATAATTAATGGCCAGATTAACTTTGGTATCCAGGCATTTCTCCATGAAGAAGCTTTATATCACCGAACAATTCTCGCCATTGGAAAACCCTTCCCGCTGAACAATAACATGATCGCAACCCGGAGTACCTTCAGGTTCTATCTACATCTTTCAAAGTTGCCACCCTTCCTCGGATGTAGGGAGATGTTGGTGATGGTATATACTGCATATACCAGCTTTCGCGATTTTGGCGAACAATAATATTTATGATAACTCCTTGGATGCCTGCGCGAAAGCAAGTCTGTCATGTTTTCAAACAGAACAGAGATTGAGCGAGCTTTCTTGGCGCGCATGATTTAACAGTCACTCACTACTCACTTCGCTGCTGGCATTAACTAAGGGACAAACTCCGGGCCGCTTTACAGGCAAGCAATTGATTTTTGTGGGATGGGAAAGATGAGAGATGAGAGATGTTGGTAAAGAAAGCTATCAATCTATTTATTCGAGCACAATTCAAAGAATATTTTCAGAAGCATGTCGTGTCGTGTCAAGTAACTACTATACGATATAGGATATAGATTGTCAAACCTGCAGGATAACATCTCCACCGATCAGCACGCTGGGAGCTCCCGTCCTCCTCGTTGATGCCCCGCACAATACATGAATAATCATAATAATAATAATAATAATACCCTCTAACTATTTGCTTGGTACTGGGATGTTTTTATACGGTACCAACCATATGGCGGAGGAGAGCGGGGGAGACAAGGATTAGTCAAGAACCACGCAGCGTTATCGTCAGCAGCCAAACTCTCCAACACTGCCAAAACCCTAAACTTCGCGCTGCGCCTCTGGCCATCTCCCTTGTTTCCATGCTAGTTCTGCGCAATTTTCCTTGGATTGGCGTGGTGTTTGGCGCCTAGCTTTGCCGCGGGAACGCTGCTGGGCATGATTCCCCTCCCGGGCTTGCCACCGGAATGAGGAATGACCCGGCGGATGGCACGCACGTTTTTCGGGAAATACTATACCCTGAGCACCCAGGCATAAGCAGTCCCTTGTGGGATAACTAGCTAGTAGATAACCCGGTCTGGTGATCAAGACTCTTCTTTTATTCCTTTTTGGCTACCTCAATTGTGCGGGGGAAGCACCCATGCCATGTCGCTCCATGTGCGATAACACCACTATCGGCTTGGTATTAATATTAATACTACTATTGTTTGTTATGACTCTTCTACCTCCCCGAGCTTGAAATCACCCGCACACACAACACACCACATCACACCACCATTGAGGATTGCGGGGGCCCGATTTCTGGGGCTGGTCAGCCTGCATCCTGCGCTTAAAGTTTGATCGATCTTTTCTATTTCCCCAGATATTTCTTTTCAGTCTCTCATATTTCGACCTTCTCTGCTGGCTTCTTCCCTTCCTTCAACCGTCCTACTGGCCGAACTGGCTCTTCTTTATTTCCCGCTCGCCAAAAGTGCCGTCCATATACAATCTTCCCTAGTTCCCCTCCACCCGCACCAGAGGCAAGCGAGCTATGCAAAAATGTGCAAAGCAGTGCAAAACCTGTTTGAATCTCAGTTGAAAACTCCTGCAATTCCTCGTTAACTAATTCATCCAATATATTGATTGATGCGTGGTTTTTACTGAGGTGACTGGAGATAATCCTTTCATACATTCCCACCTCACCTCAAACCGTTGCGCGCGCAGCTAGAACAGTCAGCATGCCTGCTGTAGAGCTCCTGCGCCGCGAGGAACCGGCGCCGAGAATTATCAGTCCTCTACCCGCCGAGAATCGTGGAGGAGTGATTTCTTTCTTCGCTTGCAGTCTACTTTCAGTCCTCACCACAGGGCCCTTGGTGGTATGGCTCGCGTATCGCCTTATCTTTTGGAGATGGTACTACACCAGATATCCGGGAAGAAATCAACTCATCATATTGGTTTTCAACCTTTTAATCGCGGATCTGCATCAGGCCTCGGCCAATCTGGTCTCTCCTTACTGGCTCCTAAGGAACGAGATATCTATTTATTCTCCGGCGTGCTTTGCTCAAGGCTGGCTTATCAATTTTGGAGATATCGCCAGTGGCATGTTTGTCCTTGCCATCGCTATTCATACCTTTGCGGGCGTGGTCTGGAGGAAAATGTTGAGCCATGTGGTGTTCGTGGGATGCGTCGTTGGCCTTTGGATGTTCTGCTTGCTTGTCACTGCCCTTGCCCCTGCACTTCATGGCAGACATGTTTTCGTTCCGATTGGTGCTTGGGTGAGATCTCCTCAACGTTTTTCGCTCGTTTTGGATGCGGGATTTTTGCTGACAGTCCCATTTAGTGCTGGATTGATAGCGAGTATGGAGACCAACGGCTATATTTACATTACTTCTGGATTTTTGTCACAGAAATCGGTATCATTATCATTTACCCAACCCTCTTTTTTATTATCCGGCACCGCTTAAAGTCGTCGAAGGAGTTTAGAGTCAACGGCTCGAGACGGCCCAAATTTAACAAAGTACTAAAGATCATGATCATATATCCTATCGCCTACATTGTCATCTCACTTCCTATCGCCGCCGGCCGAATGAGTATGATGAATGGCCGTCACCCGGGAATGCCCTATTTCTATTTTACGGGGAGTCTGTTGATGTGCTCTGGCTGGGTTCACTCCATTTTATACTTCCTTACACGGCGCCGCCTGGTGGAAGCAGACATCCAAACCGAAAGCGGATCTGATAGCAGCAACAGACCCAATCCCAGCTGCGATCCCAGGTACGAGATCCCGCTTACTATAGGCGGTGGGGGACTTCGAGGCACTGGTAGCAGACACAAGCCGAGCCCCGCTGTTCTCAAGAATTCACGAACGCTACATACGATTTCAAGCTCCACAGACAATATCCTCGACACGGTCGAACTTTCGGAGCTAGGCGAAGCGAACCAAATGGGAGTAGTCGAAATCTCAAGTGAGCCTACCAGGGTCACATCATACTCATCCACATCGTCATCTAACGGTCAACTAGCGCAGTTCTCCTCCAACAGCGCGCCGAGCATTAGTACGCCAGCCACATCGACTCAACGAAATACATCGATGGATTGGCCGACGCAATATCAAGGAGGTTGGGCCAGCTGACGACGAAGGTTCTCGGAAGGGCCATACTCCTTCCACCCTGCACAATGGCAGATCCTTACTTTTATTTTTCTCCATTTCTTCTTTCAATGTCCTCTTTTTTTGGCACCCCAAAAATATTAGTGATGGTTTAATTGATGCGTACTATGTCACATGTACCACCACTTTGCGGATTAAGAATTTCTCTTCATGCTTTCCTTTTTAGTTGGTTCTCCTTTCAGCAGGGCGCTCGGTGGATGGCGGTGAAGGGTTTGCGAGGGTGTTCCGGAATTTCGTTTTTCTTTTTTCTCCTTTCTATTATCCCCACGGTTTAAAGTCAAATGGGTCATTTTTCTTGCGCAAAGCCTGTATATATGTATGGGACGTTTGGATTATATCTCGCATTAGATAGTTCCGCAAGGCCTACTTGTTTGTATCTTTCAATACATTATGCATTCCCGAAAGCTTGCCAAGGCGAAACAATGTTCTTGACCTTCCTCCCACCTTGTCCATCAGTAGAGCCCTAGTTTTCGGGGGAATGGGCCGGAAAAAAAAAAACGGACCATGCCTTTTTTCCAAACTCTGCTGTCCCACTCAGCTTGGTTATTGTAATTTTCTCGCGCCATAGCCAGAGAGGGGTGATATCAGGGTTAGTTATACTTGCCTTCAACGGGGAGGCCTGTAGGTGCAGTCCTGCTAACCTCCATCATACATCCAATAGCTTGGATAACGGGTCTGACTGGCTTGGGAGCTAGAAACGCGCCTACCGTGACAATCTTGGAACCTCTGTTTTATCTCTATTCAGCATCGCATGGTCGTTGGCTGCGTAAGACCTATATCTTCTAGTTTGCGAAGCGAGAACCTGGATACGCTATATGTATC